TTGATTGAGTTTATAGTTTTGGGAAAGTTTTTCTGAGGTTTGTGATTAACCCTCAAGGTATAGGAGTTCACAACTGATTAATAGAAGTACTGTTGACTCCCTTGTAACAAATACTAGTAATATGCACGTGCATTGCACGTGATATTTAATATTAATCACTTAAACATATTTATCATTGAAAAATATTTTCAATAAAATATTTATAAGGTTAATATTATCTTTTTTTTTTCCTTTCACGTAGCAAGGTTTTGTGCTTTCTTTTTTTAATTTTTTCAATTTCTTTTCGGGGACAAAAATTAGTTAAAATTATAATATAATTATAAAATTAGAACAAAAAATAAATGATTTTTTCCAGTATCTAATTTTTATAATTATTATAGAAATATATGAGTACAAAAATCGTATTTAAACTTGAAGGAATCAAGGAAAAATTATAAATATAATATTCTAATAAGAATAAATTACTCTCACTTAAATTTAATTTATTATTTACTATAACTATAATTACATTAGATTAGTTTACAATTTATTTATTACAAAATAATAATTATAAATATAATATATATCATATTTATTATCCAATCATGAAGATAAAAGATGAGATAGAGTATGCATCGAAAAGTAATAAATTTTTAAATAATAAAAATGTTAAAATAATATAATTTGTAATTACAATTAAAAAATCTGATTATAAATGTCACATTCTTAAAAAATAAATTATTCGTACAAATACCTACTTTTTACAATTATTATAGAACCTTTCATGTAGCAAGGTTTTTTGTTTTCTTTATTATTATTCTTATTTTTTTGAATTACTTTTTGGTGACAAAAATTAGCTATAATTATAAGATTTGGATAAAAAATAAATTATTTTTAACAGTATCTGATTTTTATAATTCTTATAGAAATATATGTGTATAGAAATCGTACTTAGACTTGAGGGAGTCAAGGAAAAATTATAAATGTAATATTCTAATAAGAATAAATTATTCTACTTAAATTTAATTTATGATTTATTATCATTATAATTACATTATATTATTTTACAATTTATTTATTACAAAATAATAATTGTAATATATATATATATATATATATATATTATATTTATTATCCAATTATGAAGATAAAGAGGAGAGCGAGAGTATGCATGAAAAACTAATAAATTAAAATTTTAAAATAATTCAATTTGTAATTACAATTATAATCCAATTATGAAGATAAAGAGGAGAGCGAGAGTATGCATGAAAAACTAATAAATTAAAATTTTAAAATAATTCAATTTGTAATTACAATTATAGAATCTAATTATAATGGTATCATTCAAATAAAAATAAATCATTTTTACTGATACTTACTTTTTACAATTATTATAGAAATACAATACAAAAAACTCATCCAAAACACAGTAATGCATTGATTTCTTAAATTCAATTCCTACACGGTTAGAACATTAAATCACTGGAGCCAGAGAAAGAGCAACTCTCTCTCTCTAAGAAAAGGCCATCATCATTCAGGAATCAAGACTCAAAGTTCTTAACACCTTGACACAATCTGGTAATATAACCACCATCCGTATCACACAATCACATAAAGAAGAAAACACATTGTCCACAGTAACATGCAAACCGATCAAGAAGAACAACAACAATAAAAGAACAAGGAAAGTCCAAAGTAGCTGCCTACATTTGAGATTTAGTTAATATACTATTTAAGACAAAATTCTAGGGCATTAAATAAAACCAGGAAGCTCACAAAGACAAAGGAATAGAAAACATTAAGGAACACAATCAAAATCTTAAATACCAGCAAGTTATAGAGGACTCTAACATAAAAAATTATTGGGTGAGCAAAAAGATTTAACATTAAGAATAATTGAAAATTTATACAATAGAAGCTGCATTAGCTTTGGATGGGTGGGTCGTAATCAAATTAATGGTTTCACAGTTGGAACTTTAAATCATAGGAGCTGAGATAGTAACAAAAAAGCTTCTTTACCTACAATGAAATAGAGAATGAGAAATCAGTAGAGAGGGAGATAAATTGAGAAAAACAGTAGAGATAAAATATAGAAATTTAAAACGATGATATAAATAAGAGAAAAAAAGTACCTGTGATATTTAAGAGGGAGAGATGGCGAGACATTTTAGGAGGGAGAGATACTTTAGAAAAGAGGGAGAGAGAAATAGAGAGTCTCTATTGGAAAGTGAACGAAAGAATATTGACTCGGTCATTATATGATCCTTTCCAGTTGTGAAATCTGATTCACTCCTATGATAGAGAGAGATACCAGAGTCGATTTTAGGAAAGTGAGAGTGAGAGAAATAGAAAAACAATAGAGTGGGAGAGAATTTTAGAAAAGATGGAAAGAGATTTTAGTAAGGAAAAAGTTATAGAGAGTTGGGGCTCTAAACAATCAAATTTGAGCCTACATCAAAAATTTCACTAGAAGAGGTTGTTTTGATGCCCAAATATTTTCAAATCGGTCATCTCGACATCGATATTCATGGACATGAGAAAAAAATGGATTTCAAGTTTTGGAAATAGTGTATTTTTGTAACACATTTTTGGATAGTCAATTTTCAAGATTTTCAAATTTTCATAGATCTCTTGATCTATACTATTTTAAAAGCCTTGAACCTTATAAATAATTATAAAAATCACAAAGATTTTCAATATTAATACCATATTTCTTGATACTATTTGAAGGTAGGCTCTAATTTGATTGTTTAGAGCCTAGGCTCTATACAAACCGCACCCTTTTAGTAAAGAGGGAGAGAGAAATATTGGGTGAGAGTGAGAATGGGAGAGATGAGATTATAAGAAAGAATATCCAATATATGAAATAGAATAGAAGAAAGAAAATCCCATATAAATAGGAAGAGGAAAATCATGCTTATCTTTATAAAAAATGCTCGATTTGAAATAGAGAGAGAGTTAGAGAGAGTAAGAGTATGGATAGGAGATTATAGGAAAGAATATATAAATATAAAATTAGAAATCATGCTTATTTTTTGATAGAGAGAGGGAAAAAAAGATGCGTGGAGAGAGAGTGTGTTATAGATAAAGGGGTAGATGTGTTACTTTGAGAGAGGGTATAAAGAAAGGGATAGATGTGTTACTTTGAGAGAGGGTAATTTTGAAAAAGAAAAAGGACATTTGACAAAAGAATAAGTGGGGTAGCCCTCTCACTTAATATATAATACATAGATAAATAGTTTTACAATATAGATCTCTTCATCATAATCATTACCGTAATATATAATACATAGATAAATAGTTTTACAATATAGATCTCTTCATCATAATCATTACCGCCTTGTCCAAACTATTTGGGGTTGACTATACAGATCAACTTTTCCACCATTCTGCTCTATCTATTGTCGTGCCCTTATTCAGACCATAAATCATTATATGTATGGATATGAAAAAAAAAATATTTAGAGTTTTAAAAATGGTCCATCTTGCAACAAATTATGTAGACCATCTATTTTTCAAGATTTTCATGTGTTTATAGATTTACTTGATTTGAACTATTTTTGGAGTTTAAAATTTTATAATTACAGATAAAAATAGATTTTAAAGTCATCTTAAGAATTTTGGCACCAAAATTACATCTTATGATAAAATTTAGAGGTGCGGTGGTTGATTGAGTTTATAATTCCAAAAATGTTTTTTTGAGGTTTGCGATCAAGGTATTGGACTTCACATCTAATTACTAAAAGTGTTGGCGACTCCCTTCTAACAAATATGAATAGCTTTATAAATATCGATCTCATCATCATCATTATTCAAGCCTTATTCGAATTATTTGGAGTCGACTATGTGAATCATTTTCCACCATTTTACTCTATCTATTGTTGTGCACTCATGCAAACTATAAATTACTATGTGTATTCTCATTACTATTGTCCATGTCTTTGGGGCTTCCCCCTTGCCTTTTTAGAGCCTTCCAATTGAACCAAATCATTCATCCTAACCAGTATTGTTCTAAGTTGATATTGCACATAACCAAACCACTTAATATCCTTACATCAGTTACACCTATTTTATAGATGTATTATTTCTTGTATGCCTGATATTTTGTTCATAAAAGCACGATTGCTCTTCCAGATGTGATATATAATTTCCCTTTCAGTTTAATTGGTATGCAACTATCAGATGAGACTCCAGAAATACATCTCTACCTCTTCTGCCAACTCCAATTCTATGAGCAATATCTTCCTCAATCTCCCCTTTCACATAAATTATCGACCTAGTATAATCTCGTCTAGGTATTTTTCAGCCATTAATATTAAATAATTATTTGTTTCTACTCTTATTATTAGTAAACTTAGCATTCGATATATTACAAACTCTTAATTTATCAGTATCCAATAATAATAATTAAAGTGATTATCAACTTAATTCTATGAGCAATATCTTCCTAATCTCTCCCTTCACATAGACCATCAACCCAATGTAATCTCTTATAGGATTGTTTTAGTCACTAATATTAAATAAGTCTCTGTTTCTACTCCTATTATTACTACACTGGCATTCGATATATTACAGAATGGAGCCGAGCAAAAGTAAAAAAGTGTGGTTTGTATAGAGCCGAGGCTCTGAACAATCAAAATAAAGCACACATTCAAATAGTGTCAAGAACTGTGATTTCAGGAAATCTTTGCGATAGTCTTAAAATATATTTTCATCTTCAATTATAAAATGTAAAGTTTAAAAAATAGTGCAGAGCATATCTATAAAAACTTGAAAATCTTGAAAATTGACAGTTGAAAAATGCGTTACAAGATGCATTATTCCAAAACTTGAAATCTATTTTTTTCTCATGTTTATGCTTCTTGATGTCGAGATGATCAATTTAAAGATATTTGGACATAAAAAACAACCTCTTCTAATGAAAATTTTGAAGGGGGCTCTAATTTGATGGTTTAGATCGTCAGCCGTAAAGTAACGTGGGCTGTCTAGATATGAGGATAGTTTAGATATATCATAATAAGATGCGGACATGTTTGTCATTAGTCAAACTACATAAGACCCAAACGACTCTTCGGAGAGGTTCAGAGGAAGGAGGTGGAGTCAGATTCACCGCAATCAGGTTACTCTCTTTCTATCTGTCTCTCAATCTCTCTCATTTATCTGTTATTCTTGTTATTATTCAATAACCTATGAGTCCGTTACTTTTTCCATTTTATTTTTCCTTTGATCTTTTATCAAATTTGTGGAGAACGAAATGAAAAGAATGCAAAAATATCACATAACCCAAATCAACATAGAATTACCTGACGTAATTCCTTACCTCATCCATAATTTTTTTCCTTTTGAAACGATTCGAAAACTCAGGTTTATAGCGCAAAGTCGGCCAATTACTCCGGAATCTCGAAAAGGTCATCCGAGGTTATAATTCTGAAATTTGGGATTTTTGAGCGATCCTGCATTTGGGATTCCACTTGATATCAGCCACAAGCTTTTAGAGCTCGAAACGAAATCTCGGCTGAAACTGTAGGTTCCCTATGCTCTGCAATCGATTTCACGGTTTGGAACATATGTACAAACCCTAGTATGATGGACGGTCCATATCAAAAGTGTGTCCCGGTGTCGACATCTGGACCGTCTAATATTGAGTTCTTTTATTTGTTCCATTTCCTTTGAATGTACATATGATTTGTTTTTTTTTCAGGTCGCAGGTAATCCTAGAATTGTTGGCGTTCATGTTTAGGAGGGAAATTACCAGTAATGCCCTCCGTTTTGTTCGATATTCAAAGAAATGCTTCACCTGCAAGAATAGTGGCATGGACCATGCTGTCAAGGAGCTCAACATGGTAACCCTAAACTACTTAAAAGACCAAAGAAATATTTCATTTTTTCATGATCAAATTATGGGTGAGGTTTATATAAGGCGTCCACCTTAAACAATGGTGCACCTTCAAATTCTTTTGAAAGATGTAGTTTTGGTGTTGAAAATCTTACAATGAGATGAGAATCTATTTCCAACCCTCACATCATATTCGGAGCTTTTTTCGGTTCGAATTTTAAAATTTAAAGTTTTAGAAATGGTATTGATCAAGCATATTTATGAACACTTGAAAATCATGAAAATAAACGGTACGGATAATATGCTATGTGGTTTGGCAAAATATCAAGATTTACGCAATTGCCTATGACTAAGAGACAACATGCTTCTCTTCCACTAATTAGAAAAACAACATTCAAGCATGGAGAATATAAGGATTTACAAGCTCCCTCTCACAAGCCATAAAACATAACCCCACTTCTATATTTTGATAAGTTAAATTTTCTCTAGGTACAAATGCCTTTTTTTATAAAGAAGAAAAACCTAGAGATAGAAGATCTGCATGAGGCCTCTTCCTTATAGCTTTTCTAATTCTCATAGGTTTCTCAAATTATAGGAATTAGCTTCTCATAAAATAGGAACTCCTAGATAAAAGGATCTCCTCAATAAAATTAGGAAAAGTATGTCTGTACGGGAGGAAACATGGACCTCACACCCTTACTTGAAGACATGGTTCCATTCTTACTAGTCTGCTTCAAGAACATGTTGCATATCGGTTACTAATCATCAAGGAACCATAGAACCTCGGGAAGCTTTGAACAATATAAAACTGTGCACCAAGTGAATTTCCTCTTCTAAATATGTTTAGTCAACATATTTGCGAGATTGTCATCAATATGAATTTTCTGCAATAATATACTCTCATCTTCTACCATATTATGTAAAAAATGATATTGAACATTGATATGCTTGGTTCTATCATGGAATGTTGGATTCATTGCAAAAAGCAAAGCACTCTAGTTATCAAAATGAAGCAACATACCTTTTCGCACAATTCGAAACTTACCAAGTAACTTGTTTAGCCAATGCTTCTTTAGATACATAGGTATACTCAACTTCTATAGGAGACAAAGCCACCACAGTATGTAACCTTGATAACCAACTGCACCACCTCCCAAAGAGAAAATATATTTGGTAGTAGGCATTCTTTTATCCAAGTCACTTGCAAAATCTGCATCATCATAATTGGGAATTATCAAATCCATCTTATTGTGACAAATACCAGCATTACAAGTTCCTTTTAAATAATGAAGGATCTGCTTCACGATGGTCTAGTATTTTCCATTTATATGTTCACAACTCCCATTGCTTGTGCTATGTCAGGTCTGGTGCTAACCATAACAAATATGAGACTTCTTATTGTTAATGAGTACAATACTCGAGACATCTATGTGTTCTATGCTTCAGTGTGAGGATGTTGTTTTGTAAACAACTTCATATACTCAAAAATGGGATACTAACTTGTTGGACATTCTACATATTGAAGCGTTGCAGAACTATCTCCACATAACTCTTCTTGGTTTATCAGTTTTTTTTTGTTTTTCTTTTATCGAAGTACGTTTATGTCATGACTCCCAAATCTTTCATCTTGAATTCTTTAGCCAATTGAGATTTAAATGTTGCAATTTTTTTTATTTGGTCCTGCAATAATTCTGTCATCAATATTCAATAAGAACATAATAAAGCATATATCACCATAGCCACGCAAAATAGGCACAATGGTCAGCTTCACATCTATGAAAATTCAAGCTCAACATGAAAGAATCAAATCGGTTGTACTAACATCTCGGTGCCTACTTCAACCTGTACAATGATTTCTTGAATTTATAAACCAAATTCTCTTTACTTTAATAAAACCATAAAGTTAGGGCATAAAAAATTCTTCTTTTAAATCACCATCCAAGAAAGCAGTTTTCACATTTAATTGTTCCAACTTTAAATCAAGAATAGTGACTATAATCAAAGCAACTTTAATACTGGTCATACACAAATAAAAGAGACCTGATTCTTGAGCATTACGTTTTACAACCAAATGAGCTCTATATCTTGCAACAACATCATTGAAACTTTTATTCTTCTTGAAGACCCATTTGCAACCAATTGCTTTTTGCCCATCTCGTGATTCGACAATGTCTCGTATTTTAATTTTTCATAGGGCCTCCATCTTGTCTTCTATGGTTGCTCTCTATTAACTTACTTCATCGACCTTACATGCCTCACAATAAGAGATTGGTTCATCCTTCTATGTTGGGCAAACATAGGTTAAGCATAGTCTTTAAGCCTCAAAGGAGTTTTTTTAGGTCCTACAAATCTTCTCAATTCAACTCCATGTTGTTCAAGCTCTTGGACAATTTTAAGGTCTTGGTTCTGATCACTATCTCGCTGGTTCTCATGGGTATATTCCACTCAATAGATTTTTCATCTACCTTTTCTTTCTTTTGCTTCCTAGAATTTTATTGAAAAGAATATGTTGGCTAACAATAATCTAGTTGTTGGTAGGATCCCACTATCTGAATATCTTTGTACTATCTAATATTTAAGAAAACCATATATATTTGATTTTGAATCCAACTTATTTTTTGTCTTCTTTGAAATCAAACACAAAAACATAAAGGAAAGAATAATGAACTTGTTTACCTATCCAAACTTCTTGTAGTGTCTTTTAGTTAATAGCAATACTAGGATACTTGTTAATTTTGGATATAAGTTATACGAATTCATTTTATCCAAAAACAGTGCTCTAACCCGACAATACTCAACATACACCTGACACGCGCCATAATAATAAGATTCATCCTCTCATCAACACTATGCTGCTGAAGTGTCCATGAGCTATCAACTGCCTAGCAATTCCTTACTACAAACTTGTTAAATTCATCGTAACAAAATTCACTTTTATTATCATTTCTTTTAACACTTGATACTCTTGCCTTTCTAATTTCTACCCTGACCTTGATTTTTTTGAAACACCTAAAAGCATTTGATTTATTTTTCAACATATAAATCCGTACTTTTTTGGAAAAATCATCAATAAAAATAACAAAATATGCAACATCCATCATAGAGACAAAAGGTGACTATCATGTGTCCGAAAGAAGCAATTCCAAAAAGTCCTTATTCTAGCGGAATCTATTCTGTTTTTCAAACAAGCATTATTCACAAAAATCTAAATTAAGAGATTTTAAAGCAAATATGAGGTTGTTATTAAGAAGTACCATGTGTCCATGCTTACTCATGTGTTCCAAACTTACATGTCATGACAAAGTCTACCAATGCGTTATCAGCCTCTCCCAACACTGTTTCTCCAACAAGTCTATATAAATTACCCATTAACTCTCCCTTAGCAACCACTAGTGCTCCTTTCGAAATGCTCAGACATCTATTACCATTTGCAAACTTGAAATTTTACTTATCAAGTTTTTCCAAGAATAAGAGTCCTTTTGAGACTTGGAATGTCTGACGCTTTGAATTTTGCGTGTTACTTCATTGATCATCTTGATTTTTATATCTTCGACTCCTACTATTTTACACAAGTCATTATTTCTCATAAAAAAAATACTTCTATCGCATAGTTGATATTTGTCTAAAGAATTCCTATGTGGAGTCGTGTCAAGGATGCACCTAAATCAAGCAACCAATATTACAAAACTTCGTCTCCCTATCGCATAAACAAAAGTTCTCCATCTTCAAAAAACTCAATTTTTTCTACTAAATTTTCTTAATACGCACTTGAACTAGGTTTCTCATTAGAATCTCATTTACTTTTTATAGCTTACATATTTCTTGACATGGCTAAATTTCCCCATCCTCAATACTTCACTTTCTTACATCTCTCAACTTGAAGTTTGACTGATCCTTATTTAGTTCTTTCCATTAATATATCCCATGCTACAAATATATTCTCAGAGGATGCTGCAAATATACTCTCGGAGGATTCAAGACCAAGCTTTCGCCCCTTATATAAACTTTCTCAGAGGATTCATGACCAAGCTTTCGCCCCTTGTATAAACTTTTTCCATGATGAGACATATTCAGGTTTTAATAATGCGTGGCACTAACTTTTCTTTGGGGGCCTTTATTAACGTGCATTAAATTTTCTAGAAGTAACATAACCCTATGCTATAGTTTAAAAGAAATTTTGGGTGTAGTAGTTTTCAGCAATTAGTTGAAGAAGTACTTCGATCGAATTTAGCACAAATTTGTTCGTGTTATATTGCAAACGAATTTTGAGTAGAAATAGTTTTTGTACTACATATCATGGCTATAATTTTTTTGGGAAATTATACAAAGAGATCATTTATTTTTTGTTTAAGGAAGTTACAATCATTCTTGTCCCTTGGATGTCAAATTGGGTGATTGTAAGTATCACTAAAAAGACTTAAAGTTCAAAAAAAATATTTTTTGGATTTCGTGACTAGCCCAAACTACAAATTTTGACATCTAATGAATATGAGTGATTGTGACTTACTTGTAATAAAAATAAGTGGTCTCATTGTATACGATCCCAATTCTTTTACTGATAAAGAGTAGTTCCTACGAGTACTAGTTAGAAGTGCATTAGATTGATGCTGGCATGAAATGAATGATAGAATGAAACTCTAAACAATAGAGATTTGTAATAAAAAGCCAGGTATTTTAAGTTCAACTCCCAGATAAACGAGAAAGGTTTTTATGCTTCTCTACCACATAAAAAAATATATACTTCTCCTTCATCCAGCTGTCCAATTTTGATCAATTGAACCACTAACCACTTAATCTAGATTCAATGTTTCAGAGTATTTTATTTTTAATTTTTTTTCTATTGACTATATGAATATGAAATTTGATATATGCATCACCTCAATGGGGTGCACCGAAATAAAATATTAAAAAATATTTTTGATAAAATACAATGACCAAAATACCCCTAATACTTTTAGGGTCATTTTAGTCATTTTATTTTATTGCAATATTTTGTTAATATTTTTTATAGGTGCGAGTTCAAGCGATGATTGGACACCCAAATTTTAGTTTCAAAATGTTTTGTATAAAAAAGTTAAAAATAAAATAGTATAGAAGGTGACATTGTGATTAGGGCCATTTAAGCCGTCTATTTAAAATAGATGGTTGGAAAGGGGGAAGTATAGAAATTATATGTCATAGGGGAAGCATAGAAAACTTGCTACCAAAAGAGTTAATGAAGTTCCCTACATGCCTAGTAAATGAAGAAGGTTCCAAAGGATCACTGATCTTTATTCTAAACTTTTCTTTTTTAGGTCACAAATTCGCATCAAATCCATACTAAGAAAGTCTATGACATGGAAATAATGCGTGTCTGAATTTTTCAATTAGATTTCAATTACATTTGGAAGTCACAAATTGTGTTCTTGTCCCATTGCACACTTCAAGCCTTACCATGTATTAGTATAGAAATAGAATGATTTTTTCTCTCTTGAAAATTGTCAAATAAAGGACATTGCTGAAAATTGCATCTAGTTTTTCAGGAAATGGAATCAGTATTTGGCAAACCCCCATGTTCCACAAGCCTTGATGCCATGAACCACACAACCTTAACTGAAGAACCGAAGGCGGAAATGACAGAGACCCAACCTGGTCTAACCCATGTTGACAGCAAAGGGAGAGCACAAATGGTTGACATCTCCAAAAAAAATCCAGATAGCCGCAGGGTTGCTACGGCTTATTGCAAAGTTTCTCTTGGCCGAGAAGCCTTCAGTTTGGTGGCCTCAAACCAATTATCAAAGGGAGATGTTCTCAGTGTTGCCAAAATTGCAGGCATTTGTGGCGCTAAGCAGACTAGTAGCTTGATACCTTTGTGCCATAACATAACCTTAGAGAGTGTTCAGGTTGATTTGAGGCTGAATGAGGAGGATTGGACAGTCGAGATTGAAGGAGAAGCAGCCACTACCGGGAAAACGGGGGTGGAGATGGAGGCGATGACAGCGGTGGCTATCGCGGGTCTCACAGTATACGATATGTGTAAGGGGGTGTCGAAGGGTATAAGGATCGAGGGCATCGAGCTACGACACAAGAGTGGGGGCAAAAGTGGAAATTGGTCTCGAGAATAATACTTTTGCCTTTGTTTTTTTTAGCAGTGGATGATCTTGGAGGGTGGATTTGGTGCAGAGATGGTAGAATCTTGTGAGGCTGAACAGTCTCAGATGCATTCAAATGCAGTGCAATGTAAACTGATAGCAAGTAGAAAGGCTGACGTACATAGGAGAAGAGGGTGTTTTAAGCATGGCAATTACAGTACCTGTTCATATCTTGCATGGATGTAAACAGGTCCTTGGACTGTACAATGTCATTGTCAGATGACCATAAAAAACTTTCATGGATTTTGAGCCAAAGAAAACAGCACCAGCAGTCTGTTATCCACTTTCAACGGTCAATGGATTTTTATATCCACGATGTAAAAGTGTTATCATATACTTTCCCTTAATCGCTTATTACTTCAGTACTACATGTAAAGTGACGAGAGCAGAGGAGAATATTTTGCCCAACTTCAGAGATAAAGAACTTTCATACCTTCAGAATATCCAAGACCAATGCAAAATGAAAATGATTGGGCACAAATCACATATTTTATCAAAATTTGATATATTTTTCATACGGGCTGGACCACATTTCTACAATATGTGATCCAGAGGTATAAAGCATCCATCTTAAAGATGGATGCAAATAAGTGTGCCATCTAGAAACAATTATAACTAACGGTCCAAATGTTTTCTTAATATTAATATTATTTATAGTTTTCAATATATATATATATATATATATTATATATATTCTTCAAAAATTATGATCAAGTTATATTTAAAAAATATAATTATTGTCAAGCCCATATTTCAGGCTGATTGCATGGAAACCGTGTCCTTGATATATTGCTTGGCAATTAAAAAAGGGAAAGTATATAATGAGACCATTTACCTTTGGTACAAAGTGGTCACATTAATCTTGACCATTGGATGTGCAATTGGGTGGCTGCAATTATTCCACTGACCAAACTCAAACTAAAATTTTTTCGAACTTTGTGACACATCCAAGCTATCAAATTTGACATCGGATGATTGTAAGTAATAGTAACCACCTTGTATCAAAGATAAATGGTCTCATTTCATACAATCCCATTAAAAAAATAGTTTATATGGAGAGTATAAAAAGAAAACTAAAAAAATTCTCAAAATTTTAGAGCATCAGTTTCTGGTTTACTAACAAATGCAGAAACCCCTTCTAATATCTTCAAAAACATGTAGAGAGTACACACAAACAAATGAACATACAGGATTGCTGTTCCCCGAATGTTATAGACAATTATTAATAATCTTTCAAAAGCAAGAAGTGTATGAATATAAACAAAATAGTGAAAAAATAATGGCAAAATTTTGGTACTTAAGGTCATAGTAAAACAATCAAGGCTATTATACAGCTGTACAATACTGTCAGGAACCAGGGTCTAAAGGTATGGGATCTCTTCTCAGGCTTGCCAAAGCCAAATAACATTAAAGATTGATCTAAGAAGAGCTTCAGAAACACTGCACAACCAAAAATGGAACTCACGGCAAATATGGCAAGCTCTTTGTTCTCCATAATCTTTTGATCACTCGTAGCCTTTTCCACCTCTAGTCTGCAGAAGAATTTGAAGAACTCATTAAATACTGGTCATTGGATGAAAAGAAACCAGCTTTTCTTTATTTTAATAGGTGGTTTGTATATTCGTCATTCATAATCAGTTCATGGTGGTTTACAGATTATAAAAAGAAAAAAACACATATTTTCTTCATTATGTTGAAGTTTTTCAAGCATGTCTAACTAGAGGAAAATGCTGGACATAACCTTAGTCTGGCAAAAACAACAAAAGTACCCAATAATTAGGTCTAGATTTTCCATAATTGATCAAATCTTCCTCCCACCCTCAACAGTACCTTCCCCATTCATAGTATTAGCTGAATACAAATCTTCAAAAGTATCCCAATTCTTTTTCCAGTAATGTTTTTGTACCGATTCTTTTCCGGTAATGTTTTTGTAAACCAGATATTTGTGTTTGTGACAAGATTCATATTATCATTTAGAATTAATACACCATATAAGTTTGTGAGCTCCAGAGAGGGGAAATAATAGCTAACATCATCAAGGCAAATGATAGAATAGGGTTTCATATTGAAGTTCTGAGTAGATGCAGCCTTAGTGAGAAAAGCGTCCAGGTTGTTATTGAATGTTTCTCAAATGCTGAACATTAATCTCTAAGGGATAATTAAGATCTAATGGAAATTAACAATTATGATTAGCGAGGTGAGCTACTGCAATCAAGTGCCAAGACCATTTCCAAGAACGGTCTATATTTTATGAGATTTCTGTATTCCAAGCCCCAAGAGGTATCTCATATGACCACAGACCACGTTGAGGATTACAACTAACGAAAGGATCCAGTGCACAAGACCTAGGAAAGCCAAGATACGTCCCAGGCATTAAATGAGGTTGTATGGATTTAATAAGGCTATATTTTACCAAGAAGTGCAGCTTTAGGCTCTTCTGCCAAAGCCACAAGGGAGATTATCATGTACCACCCCAGCATTGACCTTTAATCTAGAAAATAAAGATGGTATCTTCATTTCAGATCCCTCTTTCTATAAAAGTATTGTCTATGAAGCTTCCACTGAAAATCTTATAGGACCATTTCTCTCATTTTATGATCTCATATGTAAGACCAAAGAACTTTGGTGGTATAGGATACCCCAAAGCTGCATCCACTGTCTAGGGTTGATATGGAACTTACCCAGATATAGTCAATTCTTAGCCATTCAATAATAAAAAACGGATGGTGGATATAGTCTTGGAGAACATCAGTCTCTTCAACAATGGCATACTTTGCATTTCATTTTATGTAGTATGCTTACATTCCTGTGTGACGCTACAAAGAGAATGCTCAATCACATTAAAATTTTTGCAATGACGCCAGGTGCAGAAGCAGCACACGTGAAAAAAAAATTCAGTTCTATGGCTATCTCTACCAGAGGTTTATTTGGTACTTCCGCTATTTTTCCCAACAAGAAATGATCCTCTCATTTAGGAGTATAAGATGACATTAGGCCAGTTAGCCAATTCTAGTAAAAAGATTTTGAAAGATTGCTTTACAAACAACGAGTAATCTAGAATTTCTAACAATCAATCCAAACAACATTTCTGCTCATTCACACAAATTTAAGTGCAAACATTAACATTGAGACTGTGAGCCTAATAAAAGTAAATCAGATTCTTTTATCCAAGAGAGATTTAAAGCACAGTCTCTTATTCAAAAGAGATAATCCTCTCCCATTAGCCAATCACAAGCATCAAATTCTCATAACAAGAAGAATGGACCAATGAGAAGGGCACTGCAGGCTGAATGGGCTCAACCATTGGAGACTTCCACCAACAATGGGCCAGCCCATCCAATGGAAGCTCATCATATATCCCTCTCTTTTATAAATAGGAGGCCTTAGCCTCATTTGCAGCCAACTTTAAGAGGTATAGAAAAATCCTACATGGAAGAAAAATGAGAGAGAAGAAGATAGCATCACAGAGAGATTGATTGCCGGAGAAAGAGGTAGGAGCTCTGAAGAAGACCACGACCAAGCCTTGTGACTCCACCAACCCTGAGAAGAAAACTGGCACACTTGACCTAGGATCACAATCTAAATAAAGTGACCAACATGCTAGGAGAAAGTGGTGTCTTTCGACTCCCGAGAAATAGAGCAGGTACACCTGACACAGGATTGCCATCCCAATTAAGTGACCAACTTGCTCGGACAAAGGCCCCCATGACTCGCGATGACCATGAGGATGTGACACCTCTTTCCTTCTCATCTCATTATTTCTCTATCAACTCCTTTTACCTCCCTTCTCCATTCTCTTTCTTCTTTTTTCTCTCTCATCCAAGGGGCCAAACCCAAAGGAAGCCCCCTTCAGGAGGGCGAGTTTTCTCCCTCATTCCTCAAATCCAGCTAGAAACGGTTCACGAGCAATAAAAATCTGCACATCTCTCTAAGGCCAAGAAATTTCTTTTGTTTATGGAATGGATGAATTCTTCGCTCTCCGTTTCTTAGGGTTCTGCTCTTCCAAAAAAGGGACCAATTAAGGAATGAATAAAACATAAGTCTTGATCTCAGTGCTTCACCATATCACATGCAGTACACGTCATGGTCCTAGTCTGGATCTCTTATTTTTAATCAAACCAACAGATGCACTCTCAGTATTTAATCATTATCACCTGAGCCATATCCCAATAATTTGGGGTAGGCTACTTTCAATATTTAATCATGCAAGAAATTGCAAGTGACATGTTTTATACATAAATTGTATTCACTAGATACAAGGCAACTGTTCTCATCTCTCTAAAAGGGAGAAATTTCTTTTGTTTATGGAACGGATGAATTCCTGTCTCTCCATCAATCCTTAGGATTCTTCTCAACCGAAAAAAACGACCCACTAAGGAATGAATGACACAAAGTCTAAATCTCAGTGCCTCACCAAATTACATGCAGTCCAAGACATGGTCCTAAGTTAAAATCCCTTATTTTTAATCAAACCAACAGATGCACTTTCAGTATTTAATAATGTTGGCAAGTTAGAGGTTTTATACATAAATCTTGTTTACTATATAAATCTTATTTACTAGATTCAGGGCAGCTGTTATCCAAAAAAAAAAAATTTATTCATTAGATAAATATACATGCAGATTAAAGTTGTTTAAGGACAAAAAAGATCAATTTTACAATTGATGCAGTCATTAACCCACCAAGTAAAGCCAAAAAACCAACGTGCTATTTTAGGACCAGCATAACTGCATAGTCCAGGCATTCATGATGGTCTAGTGGAAGGGTGGGAAACGCAAGGAAATAATAAAAAAATACAAAAGAACACATCTACTGACCTGAGCAAGCCATTATCTTTAATCAAACCTTCCATTTGCGAGGAAATGATAAACTTCCAAGATATGAGCTCTCCCACCTCTCTCTCCTGATAAAAAAATGTTACAGCCCAATTACATGAATATTTTCAGGTGTTCTACACCATACAGGTAAAATGATAGCTGAGAGAAATCTACATACCACTACCTCTTTCCATAAGAGGAGATCCTTAATTTCCATCCTCATTTGCTCCAAGTGCAAGGAAACCCGAGATGTATCCTTGTCGAGATCTGAGAAAAGTTTCCCATATCTACGATTCTGTTCTTCCATATATCCCTCTAGAACAGATAGATTTAACTCTAACAACCTGATTTTCTGCATCAAAATCTTAATCACAGTATCACCAGGTATCCTCCCACTTTGCTGCTGCCTTATTTCTTTAATTGGATCGGGGACATTGCCTTTTGAAACCTCATTTTTCACATCTAATACCAACCCATCATCATTATCACCTTGATTTGCAGACGCCTCTTTAACAGAAGGATCAACCCCATCAAAAAGATGAGTCATCTCATTATTGTTGCCAGAGCCTAGTTCTAATCCAATAGGGAGAACTTCAAGAGGATTGGAACCGGGCAACTGATTGCTAGACTCTTCATCAGGTTTTGGAATAAAAAATTCAAGCATACGCTCAATGGCATCAACCCCATAAACCTGTACAACACTAAGAGTGCAGTAGAATTCAGTCCCGTAATGGCTGAGCAAGTTGAACTTCAAGTATCTCACCCATTTAGGTTCAGGAAGCATGAACCTCTGGACATGCTTGACATTCTGTGCGACACATTTCCCAAGAGTTGTCCATGTCTCTGTGGGATAAATTAGACTTCCCAACAGTTCAAAATCCTTGAGGTTAGAGGAGTAGTGCTCAAAATTTGCTATTTCAAAGGAATCGACTAAAGTCTCCTCAGATAGCTCAATAATGACAATTTTTTCTTCTGCTGAACATGGGTTCCTCAGGTACTTATCTTTGTCTCCATTCAAAATATTTCCAGCTCCTTTAGCTTCCTTGTTATATGACAAGACTTTTGCACCCTTAAAAGAACATGCATAATTATACTCACTACCATCAGGCTCAAGCCTATGAATGATACTCCCAAGTTGCCCACTCACTGCTTCACCTGTTTTTTGGATCGCCTTGCTTTTGAACTCGTCCAGACCAAAATGAATGGAATTGGTTGCCTTTTCGATCCTCTGTTGCTTGTACTTATCAAAATCCGGATCTTCTGGTTTATCAAGCTGCAGTTTTCCTTTGGAATCAGATTGCATGCACTGATCTGGGGCTTGCATATCAGGAACAAGCCCAAATAGCTTTTCATATCCATTGGTTTGGAAATCTTCCTTTACCTCTAGTCGATGAAAGTTTTCCCCATCTGGGTAGACAAGATTGTCAGAATCACCATTAAGCGCTCACTAGACAAGAAATATTAGCATGCCAATCACTTTAACATCTATGATCATTCTAATTTTGCAAACAAATATGCTTCATTTCACAAAAAACCAATATTTCCGTTAACTAGGTAAAGGTCTATAGGATCAAACATGAAAACCCCTGGAAGGCAATCTACTTCTAAAAGAGTTGGAACCAAATAACAGAAACAGTTATCCTCAATGGAAAAAAGTATAGACATCCGTGTCTCCGTTAATTATCTCTGGTTGACCTCCCAATTCATTCTTTACAAATAAAAATTATTGAAAAAGCACTAGTTTCAATTACTAAAGGGTTCTGTCCATCACTAGAAATAAGTATAACAACAGGGAAGGGAGGAAGTTCGTAATTGAAGCATGGTACGCACAGAAAATAGCTCTTCCCCAGAAGAGAGATGTACTCAAGCTCTATTCCACCACATAATCCTTTTCATAAACAGTAAATAATTCGTAGTTCTAAAAGTGTTCATTATTATAATTCATATCCATAGTATAAATACTCGAAGGAAGTCAGTGAAGAACAAGAATAGTTCAGTACTTGCAAGGAAGTAAGACGGATTAACAATAGAGAATGGATATTCCCACTGATTATGCCAACCTTGGATTCTCAGATATGGAAGCAAGCAGACATGGTACTCATGAGTCATCATCAAAGTCATTGCATCTCTACAAGTCAAAAGTAATATGTTCCTGTACGATAAATCAATAAGAAGTATGCTGAAATTTGGAGAGGAAAAGGAGATTTTGGGGAACCAGTTTCATAAATAAATCATTATCAGTATCTCCTCACAACCATACTTGGCTCATCATATAGTTCACAGAAATCATTCAAAAACCAAAAATAATTTTTTTTTAAAAAAAACTTATTATCCAGTATTCCACAAGGAAGTACTGGAAAATTTCACATGAATTACCAATTCCGAAGTAGTCATATATGACAAACAAAAATATTGTTGTACATCACACTAATGCAAAAGAAGAAAAAAAATGAAATGATCAATGCTAGTGTTCAGTCAATAATAGAAAAATCAATAGAAAATGAAAATTTTAGCCACCTTAAGGGACCATATATTGAGAACGAACATCCAAATAAACATTACCATTCTATTTCAACAAAAAGGGTTAACATTGTATTTAATTTCTCACGCATGTAAAGAGGTATGATCCTAATGTTGTGATCAATGGTGATTAAAAACAGCAAGGGTATATCACATTAACAGTTATTGTGCATACAAAATCACATAAACCAGAAATGAAAACATTATGGAATCAAAGCAACAACATGGAATGAAAATACAGCAACAACCACATCACATGACATAATGATTTAACGTGGTTCGACTACAAATCGTGACCTACATCCACATGAGAATAGTGCGAGACTTTACTTACTGATTTGGGAAGATTACAAGGTGAAATCAAGGCTCGAAACTTCAAATTACAGCAGCCCTTTCTCACTCTAAACAGGGCCCAAAACAGGGCACCAAGAACACCCAAAAATGGATTTTCTTTGACACTTTCTCTCACTAAAATAGGGCCTGCAATAGGGCTCCTATAAAACCCAACAAGGAACCCACTTCTCTCACTTCCTCTCACTAGAAAGTAAGACAAAACAGTTGCCTGCAAAATCCTCAAACATGAGCCTTTCTCTTCTTTCTTTCTATCTCTCTAAAACACAATGAAACAAGCCCCTTTAAGAGCCTAGTTCCTACAATATCACAATCCTTGGATTAGTTTCAATACAAGGGCTTAAAACAAGAGATGGAAAAGTAAAAAAAAAGAACCACGTGTGATTTGGATTCACACATGCATAACAATCTCTTACTCGAAGACAAATCACCAAGCCTCTGAAACAACCACCAATACAACATTCTCCAGCCTCTCAAGGTTACTTCTCCTCTAACCTCGAAAGTCTTCTACATATCTTATTCTTTTCAGTTGGGATAATTTTTGTCAACATATCAGCAAGGTTATTCCCAGTATGGATCTTGTCCACCTGTAGATCTCTACGCTCGAGGGCCAACTGAATAAAATGGTATTTGACCTCTATGTGTTTTGTCTTGGAGTGATAAGCTACATTCTTGGCCAAATGAATAGTACTTTGGTTATCATAATGCACAATATATCTATCTTGTTTCACCCCAAACTGGTCAAGTAACCTCTTCAACCAAATCATTTCTTTTCTTGCCTCTATCAATGCCACATACTCAGTTTTATTTGATGACAAGGCAAAAATATCTTGCAACCTTGACATCCAGCTGATTGCACCGCCACCAATCTTGAAAATATACCCAATGGTAGACCTTCTAGTGTCACGGCACCCTACATAATCTGAATTTGCATAACTAAGAACTTTCAATAATGAGTTTCCAAAGCACAAACATGCATTTCGTGTCCCCTTCAAATACCGAAGGATCCACTTAACTGCTTGTCAATATTCCCAACCTGGATTAGACATAAATCTAGAAACAACTCCCATTGCATGGGCAATATCAGGTTTAGTACAAATCATCGCATACATCAATCTACCCACTGCAGAAGTATATAGAATATTCTTCTTATTACCTTATCTACCTCATTCATTGGAGAGCCATTTTTAGACAACTTAAAATGTGCACCTAATGGTGTAGAAACAGGTTTACAGTCAATCATATTGAACCGTTTAAGAACTTTAGAAATATATTCAAATTGAATTAACTAATGCTTACCTTGTTTTCTATCTCTATGGATGTGCATGCCCAATATCTTCTTGGCTGGGTTCAAGATTCTTGGTGGCAAAATGCTTGGATATATCAAGCTTCAAATGCTTAATTTCATTCAAATCTTGCTTGCAATCAACATAAAGTAATAAAACAGTGAAAGAACCACATATTGATCCCTTAAAGAATACAAAATGATAAAATTTGCATTTAGTATAACCTTTACCCAGTATAAAACAATCAAAATTCTTATACCATTACCTAGATGCTTACTTCAAACCATACAATCCCTTTTCAACTTGCAAACCAAGTGAGGATTGGTTTTGTCCTCAAAACCTTCAGGCTGACACATATAAATTTATTCTTTAAGATCACCATGCAAGAAGGCAATTTTTGTATCAAGTTGTTCTAGCTCCAAATTCAAGTTAGCAACCAAAGATAAAACAACTCTAATAGAGCTATGCTTAACAATATGAGTAAAAATTTCATCAAAATCAACACCTAGCTTTTGGTAAAATTTCATTAATGATGCCAAAGGATACAACCAACACTTTCTAGAATAATCGTCTAAAAAAGTGACAAAATAAGAAGCTCCACCAAGAGATTTAATCTTAAAAAGGTCACAAATATCAGAATATATCAATTCTAATGCTTTACTTTTTGTATCAGAATCATTTCTTTTATAACTAAGTCTATGCTACTTACGCATAGCACAATGATCACAAAAATCAAGAAAGGAATGCTTCAAAATATGAATAATATTTTGACTTGGCAATACCTTCATACCATGCTCACTGAGATAACCCAAGCGACTATGCCAAGCCTACATGTCCTCATGCTTACTAGTTGTAGCAACAATCTTCTTTGCAACATCATTCTTTTGAGTCGTGCCATGAAGAATGTAGAGATTTCCATCCTTTTCCCCCTTTAACATTGTCATGCAACCTCTTGAAATCTTCCATGACCCATTTCTAAAAGTCATTATTGAACCAGAGTTACCTAATTGCCTGGCTGAAATGATATCTTCAAGTCAGGAACATGCCTCACATTTCTTAATGTGTGCTTCTTTCCATCTGATTGTTTGATAACAACATTTTCAATACCCAAAATTTTGCAAGCTCGATCATCACTAAGATAGACAAAGCCACCATCCACATTTGTGTATAATGAAAAGTATGATCTTTCTGAGCAAACATGAAATGAGGCACCAAAGTCCAAAACCCAAGGATATTTAGTAGCAATGTTGTGCATACAATACTAAAAGTGACCCCATCTTGACCGTTAGATACAATACTTGTTTCGGCATGGTCATCCTTGCTCTTAGCCTTTTTCTTGTTTTTTAAAACATAACAATCTTTCCTTGTATGACCAGGTTTCTTGCAATACCAACAAGTAACCTTCTTTCCCTGCGACTTGGACCTACCTCTGCCATGAGATTTACCTCTATTAAATCCAGATGGTTGATCTCTATATTGTGTTCTTCATCTATCACCTGCTGCCAATGCTTGATTTGATTCAGCAAGCATTTGAGCAAGATGTCTTTCTAGTCTCGTCATTCAACAATAAAGCAACAACATCTTTCAAATTAGACTTGTTACCCATTGTATTTGTCATAGTGGTAACCAAGGTATCCCAACTAGCAGGTAAAGAACTCAGTAAAAGCAAACATAAAACCTCATCTAAATTAACTTTTAGAGACCTCAAATGTGAGGCAATAGAATTAAATTCACTCACATTTGCTCTAATTGTTGCACCTTCTTTCATTTTCAAAAGAAATAACTTTTTCATTGCATGCATTTTATTGCACCATAGGGTTGTTCAAAAGATTGCTCTAAAGATTGTCAAAGCTTTGCAGATGTTTTATATTGACAAACATCAAATAAAATTGAGAGTGAAATACAAGGTCTAATAGCTGCCAAACATTTTCGATCAAGAATATCTCAGTCCCAATCTTCCATTCCAACAGGTATGGCCCCTTTTCCTGGAAGCGGCCAATCTAATTCTTTCCTAACAAGATAATCTTCCATCATCATCTTCCATATTGTTCAATTAGTTTGAATTAGTTTTTCAAATTTCATTGCCGTTTCCATTTTAGGAAAAATACAGCGAATAAGTACAATAGCAAACCCCCTTTCTTCACAAAGCACAAATCCTTAGCTTTGATACCAGTTGTTGGGATCGATGGTGGTGAAAATACAACAAGGGTATATCACATTAACAGTTATTATACATCCAACATAAACTAGCAATGGAAACAATATAGAATCAAGGCAACAACATAGAATGAAAATACAATAACAACCACATCACATGACAATGATTTAACGTGGTTCGGCCACAAATCGTGACCTACATCCACAAGAGAATGGTGTGAGATTTTACTTATAGATTTGGGAAAATTACAAGGTGAAATCAAGGCTCAAAACTTCAAATTACAGCAGCCCTTTATCACTCTAAACAGGGCCCAAAACAAGGCACCAAGAACACCCAAAAATGGGTTCTCGTTGACACTTTCTCTCGCTAAAACAGGGCTCCTATAAAACCCAACAAGAACCCTTCTTCTTTCACTTTATTTCACTAGAAAATATGGAAAAAACAATTGCCTGCAAAATCCTCAAATGTGAGTCTTTCTCTTCTTTTTTTTTCTCTCTAAAACAAGATGAAACAAGCCCCTTTAAAGAGCAAAGTTCCTACAACATCACATCCCTTGGATTAGTTTCAATCCAAGGCCTTAAAATAAGAGATAGAAAAGTAAAAAGAGAACAACATGAGTGATTTGGATTCACACATTCATAATACCTAACATGTGCACAAGTACAAGGTGATTAATTCAAATGTCAATACTCAATAGTCAATTGATTTGGGATAGGATTGCCATAGCTTAGAAAGCCATAGATACCAAGGCAAATAGGAAATTGTTGAGCTGATATATGCTTGCTCTCTCTCCTCTCTCTCTCTCTCTTTCTAGTGCAGGTTAGCTGGGACTTGAACCTTGGTCATCATGCTGGTCTCCCACATGCCCTAACCACCAAGCCAAGGGGATGAAAGACCTGATATGACCATTCCAATTGATGTCAATCTTATAGCATTAATGAGAATTGCCAGAAAGAGAGAGCTTACTTAAGGAAAAATGACATATATCACTGTTTCTCTATCATGTTCCATGGTTCAACTAAGACCCACTTAAGACATCCTAGCCATAGTAACCGTGATCTCCCAACTAAGGCGGCGATCCTGCTCTAGGATCACTATTCGGAGTTTCTTAGCCGGGATCCCCATGGGATTTCAATCCCTAATACTTGGGATCTGGTGTCAGACTTAATAAATCATAAACCACATCATAATGATCGCATAAAGCCATAAACTACAACATAATGCTATAATTGCAAAAATATATGCCTCATCATAATATTATCGAATGATAATGAATTAATGATTGCCTTTTTTAAGTTCTAATACATTTCTATTTTAATATTTTTATTTACTAATACTAATATCATAACCTGATTGAATTTTTTTTTAGAATTTTTCATTAAAATTTTTATTTTTAAAAAAGTTATGTATGTATCAGTTAATAAATTATATTAAAGGAGCTCCCGATCTAGGGAATTTAGTGCATGTATCGATCAGCCGCTCCCACCTCTACCCACACTCCCGCTCCAAGCAACTATGGCCTTAGCAGCTAGAGAAAATATCATTCTCTCTACTTTAGTCTTATCATTTGGTTTGTAATGAGTCGCTTGCAATTGTTTGGCCTCCATATTGAGAGGGAAGACCACCACAAATATGCTGCCCCCCCTTTCAATGTTGTCAAGGCAAAGGCAAGCTCACAGTATATAGCACTTAATGGGTGGTCTAAGCAAAAAAAAAACTTTGGGAGAACTAAATGCCAGTATAAACTGATGTGGAAAGTTGTTGATAAAGAGAAGTTGTAGCATGTAGGATCACATGCATCTTCTAGGAGAATTACAAAAAAGGAGAATTAGGACAGCCACCATGACATCTGGTAATTAATCTTGGATATGTGTCTGGTCAAGGATGCTCCAAACACTCCAACGATACTTTTTTTTAGATGGATAATGAGCTCAACCAAAATTCTAACTAGGAAACATAATTAGCTCCAAAGCTTAAAGTTAGAAAATTAATGCGGATTTTTGGGAAGTTTGAGAAGATGGTTGAGTGCTCCTCACTCATCCATTATAAGCAGAAAAGAAATTGTAGTTTTTGATTCAGGACTATTTGGAATATCGAACATTGGTGGCTACAAATGTTTTAAGACTGGGACTCATGCATGGAACTAGGCAGGGCCCAAGGCCAACGCAAAGGGTATGACTTGGTCAAGTCTCTACAGGATCCGTTGTGCAAGCAAAAAGTAACACGGTAAAAACGGAGTTTGATATGCCAAGTCTCAACAAGACTCGGCTGATCTAGCTGGAAAAAAAAATGGTGAGACTCAGCCGGTTCCCAAGGTTTCTCACTCAGACCTTGCAGGATACCAGGTTGGAGTAACTTGGGTGATTCCGCGTCGGTGTTGCCGAGTTTCAAAATATGGGTGGCTACTGTCCTAGGTGGATGGTCAATTGGCTACCAATCCTTTTCGCGAAAGAAGGTCCATTATCTAAGAGTTTTTCCCTTTTACAGTTCTCTAAGATTTATCATGGGATTAAATATTTTGAGCCACATTTTCCCAAAGTAAGGTGCTTAAAGAGAGAGTTTAATTCCCACCATCTTGTGGGAAGCAATCACATCGGGTCACTTAGTGAAGATTCGAGTCTGATAGTACAAGCATTATGGACTATGGCCCCTCAAGAGTTCTCATAAAGAACAGAGGTTCCATACCTTAAGGCTTTAACGGACATTTGGAACGTTGGGGTTCAAGACTTAAAATAAGGCAAAAGCTAGAATCTCAATTGGACCATGCTCATTCTTGATATGTCATTTGAGCCTCTTCTCACAGAGGATGATGACTTTCTGATTGTGATTAGATGGGTGAGACATGGAGAAGTTATGATATGGGATGACAAAAGGGAAAGCACATGTTGGATATCTATCTTTTCCATGTTCTAAAAAATGCCAATCAGGTTATTAGCTCCGATGGCAAGGGAGGGTGGCAAGATAGACGCTAATTAAAAGGAATGTCATTCCTCTGCCTTCTGTGTTTCCACTTCCACATACTCTGTTTCTTGTTGAATGACAATGTGTTTCACAAAGGAGTAAATGCTGCTCTGTTCTAAGAAGGCCCCGGGGTATGGGATACGCAAACACACTTAAAAAGGAGTTTCAATAGTGGCCATTGCTCTAGATTCCATGGACTACTGATTCAAATTATCAGAACAAGCAAAAGTACAATTCCAACCTCATTTGCCATGTTATAAATGTATAAGCGCAAAGAATATTAACTTGCAAGCAACCAAGCTAGTTTCATTCATCATCATCATCACCACCACCATCACCATCCGAGTCTTATCCCAACTATTTGGGGTCTGCTGCACGAATTCTGTTATGCTATTCCACTTTATCAAGCATCATACCCTTAGTTAGAGCATAAGTCATTGCTTTTCTGCTTCCATTTATGTCCTTTTGAGCCTTCCCCTTGCCCTTTTAGAGCCTCTCACATGAACCAAATTACCTTTTCTAACCAAGATTGTTCTAGTTTGACACTATACATGGACAAAAACCTAAGTCTATTTTCCTTCGTCTTATTGCATATTGGACCTACCCTTAAGTTCTCTTAGATGTCATGTTATCATTTTGAATTACATCATTTCCTATCATGCGGCTCATCCTTCTCAACATCCACATCTTAGCATATTCATTGATTGTATTTAATGAATATATTGTTTCTTGACCGTCCAACATCCTATCCTATAATGCATTGTTGGTCTTACAAGCATCCTATAGATTCATTAGTATGCGACGATCACATAAGACTCCAGAAACACATCTCCACTTCTTCCATCCAACTCTAATTCTATGGTCGACATCTTCCTCAATCTCTTGGTTCTCATGGATTACCGACCCAAGATTCGAAAATAATCTCTTTTAGGTACTTCTTGGCCAAACTGGCTAGTTTCATTTCTCCTCAGTTAAAAAAAAAAAATTCGAAGGTGTGATTGTGCCCAAGATTATGAAGAAACATAACAAGAAAAAGCTAAATTTTGGGTCCATCGCAAACCAAAATACAAATTGGCAACATTAATTATCATTTTCATTCGACAATTGGTGTGCATATCAGTTATCAACAAGAAATCTCTTGATGAGAATTTCTTATATAGAAGCCTAAAACAGACACAACTGGTATAAAGCTGAAATGACAATAAAACAGACACAAACGACATAGAAAAAAATACAGATGGATAATCCTTTAATTGCTTGAATAAGGGGCTAGTTGTTTTAATTGGCAAATACTAACAAAGTATATTTGGCAAAGAAGGCGAGTCTTTAAGAACATAAAGATGAGAAACATGGGTTACTATAAACAAGAAAAGCAAGAAAACAATTAACAGGATGGACCATGACCCGAAAACATAAGTGCTAAGGAAGATCAAATTTAAGTCAAGTCGAAAATAAGTTTTGAAACAAAATTAAGCTCAAATCACGAAGAAATAAAACCAATCGGGAAATGCATAGATATTGTAATGATTAAATACTTAAACTGTGAGGAACTAGGAAAACATATAGAACAAAAAAGCAGAAAAAATGGTTGATCTTTCAAAGACTGAATAAAACAATGAAGAAAAGTGGGGAACATAAGGTTGAACGGTAAAACAAATGTGTGATAAAAAAACCCAAGAGTAATCAAGCATAAACAAATCACAATATTAAATTCACATAAACAATTTAAATAGCATTTAATACTAGTGGAAAGGGGATATAAATACCTTGATATTCATGGGTGATACTCACCCATGAAATGAACAAGAAGAGGAGAGCCCATGAAGCGTGGACGAAGGACAATGAGGCCTCACAGAACCGGCTTTTGCTACTTTTAGTATGAAGTGTTGGCCTCTGCATCTCTCTCATGCGAACTGCCAAAGCTTCCTGATTGGGAACTTCAACAGTATTCTCCAATTATCTTCCCCTTTTTATCGAACACTTAACATGAACATAGATAAAGTTCCTTCTTCTTTTTCAAACTTCCTTCCTGTTATCAATCACGCCCTTAGGGATCGACTACAAACAGACCATTTATCTTTGAAAAAAGTTTATACAAGGGGACAACCTGAAAATGTAGAATTACAGATACACATCATAAATTTATCATATTATGTTGTTTTAATGTTGTAAACTCGACATTGATATATATACATATATATAAAGATTATGAGTCCCAAAATAGTGCATATTGCAAGACATTATCTAGACCATCTATTTTCAAGATTTTCATATGTTTATAGATCTACTTGATTTTAACCATTTTTTTTTGTTTAAAATTTTATAATTAGATACGAAAATAGATTTTTAGTTAATCTTAAGAATTTTTTACACAAAAATTACATGTTATGGTAAAATTTGGAGGTGCGCCTTAATTGGATTGTTTAAGATTGCAACCATATAGAAACCACACCTTTTATCTTTTGTAGATGAGATCATAATTATTCTCACTCATTAGATTTCAAATTGGATGGCTTAGGATGAGTTACAAAGCCCAATATTTTTTTATTTTTTTAACTTTGTGTCAATTCAATAATACTCTTATAATCACCTATTTTGAAATTTAAATTGTGACCTCAATATACAAAAGGTAAATGATATTTTTGTAGACATTCCCATATCATTAATCCCCTACTAAATATCGTGTAACCAAGCGAGAATGAGAAAGTGTTTTAAAAATCACTAAAACACTATCTACGTCTACCAGTTTAGTTTCAAACTAGGTGATCCCAATGTGGATAGATTTAAGTTGGGAAATTCAATTCATTTTGGGCTTTCTCAAAGCTCGAGAGAGAGATTGTATGTCAAGCAACTTGTTTCAAGGCTATATGGATAATAAAAAAGATATATAATTCATAAAATATGAATTTAGGGCCCAAACTCTAGTCTCTTTGAAAAGCATCATAAATCGAGGACTTGTTAAACCCCATATGAACATGTTTAAAGGATTTGTCGATTTCAAAAAACAAAAAAAAAATTTTAAAAAAATTGTTATTTCCCAATCGAAAGAATTCCAAAAATTGAAATATGATAGTGTTATATGCACCATGATAAAATCATAGCAAATCAAAGAATAAAAATATATCGGTAAGCTAAAAAATCAGTAATGAATCAGTTTTGGTCCAAACAAATTAGAGTAAAAATTTTGAAAAAAAAATAGGGATTACTGGAAATAGGTAAGTAGGAATCATGAATATTTCTATTACTTACTAGATTGCAAGATAAAAGTCGAGGCTAGCGGATGATAACTAAGACCCTCTGTTAATGAATGGGGGCTGTAAATTCGTTTGCTTTCATAACAGTACGAATAATGTGATAGCTAGGCCAATTGAACCACCCACCTAACATTGAACCTAAACCATAAAATAAGTCTCAAATACAAAGTTTTCAAACCAAGCAAGCCACCCTTCAAGTTGTATGATGCCTTGCATATAAAATCTCATATATATATTATTTTAGAATATTGTTTTCGTGGCTGACCCGAGTAAGTTGGTATCAACTTTGCCTCATTTGAAGCTCAAATGGTGCAGTTAATAATGGAGAAGCATGTGTTGTCCTGGGGATACATGCGGGCTTGGGCAGTGATGAACATTTATGGAGCAGCCGTGTTCTTAAAAGTGATGTCCTTGGTAGTGAATCCGGCTTCTAATACACCTAAAACTGGCACGGAATTCATAAAAATAACTACAAGGTTCTTACTTAGAAAATACATTTGATCAAAAAACAATGTTTGTAATGCGTACCAAAAATAGCAGTTTTGAGGCTACTCTTCCCTCCACAACCCATGCTTCAATGGCCTGATATGATTGTTGCATCTTTGCCATCCCCAACCATCATGACATTCTTCTATGTCACTTCAAAATATTCTCATGATCAAGAGCACCTTCCATTGCTTCCTAAATTGATCGAACTAAGTACTCCAATGAAAAGAAAGAACACCAATTTCTAAGTTTGTGGTAGGGAGTGGGGAGATCCCCAACTTTCATGACATTTTTCTGTGTCACTTCAAAATATTCTCATGATCAAGAGCATCTTCCATGGCTTCCTGAATTGATCGAACTAAGTACTCCAATGAAGAGAAAGAACACCAATTTCTAAGTTTGTGGTAGGGAGTGGGGAGATGTGGGACTTAATTTTAACTAACTTTTATAGTTTAAAACATGTACAATACGATATAACCTGGGCTTTGAAGGAGTAGAAACATTAAGGGCATTTATTCTTTAATGAAGAAATCGACTATTTACGATTCTAGAGGTGAAGCATTGGCATTTACATAGTTTATTATATTTGTAATTAGTCTCATTTATAACCAATTAATCTGTATGATGAAGTCTCTCTTTCTTCTCCAGTCACTGTCTATGATAATTGAAATCATCTTTGGACCTTAGTTAAAAGAAATATCACGCTATCTACTCCATGTTAGCATCAAATATCATGACAACAAATTTTGAAACAGTCTACTACTCCATGTTACCATACAATATCATGAAAATCAAATTTCAAATACAAACAAGCTGGGAGATTACTATATATTTTCTACTTAATGTTACAAATCAAGCTAAAATTGAAATGCATACATGGAGATGGAAATGTCAAATTATGCTATGTTACCATCCACTAATAGTATAGACCAACATTGAAATACATGATCAGGGAGATTACTATCGCACAAATATCTAATTGAGCAAACTAGGACAAAATTTGATGCCGATAGGTGGTGACCAAGACCCTCTATCAATGGAATTCAAGATTGTAAACGAATTTACCGCCACTCTAAAAAACTAGGGCCTGGGCAATAAAAATTGGCCCGAGGGCTAGGGAACCAGGGCCTAAGGGCTAGGCCAAGCCAGAGCTATGACAAGAGTGGCCTAGTTCAACCAAGTCTGACCTGCTTTTTTCTTTTACTTTTTCTTTAAATTTATTTATGTTTATATGGCCCACCATGCCAGGCCAGGGCCGGGATAGGTCTGGGCTGGCCATTTGGGAACCATTAGTATGTTAGGTCCGTGATTGGCCTAGCATTGTGCCAGCTCCACCTTTTGCATTTATGATGCCTTGTTTACAAGATTTCATAGATATTGTTTTAGAATATTGTTTTCCTAACTGACTTCAGGTAAGTTGGTGTTAAACTTTCCTCTTTTGAAACTCAAATGATACAGTTAATAAGGAGAAGCTTATGTTGTTTTGGGGATATATGCAAGCTTGGGCAGTGATTAGAGTCTTTTGGTATAAATGAGGCTGACAACTCTTGATCACATAATTCTATCACCAGATATGAAGTCAATGATGTCGTAAATGTCACACTTATGGTAGAATAATCATAAAGAATGGATATAATGAGTATCATGGAAACCTGTAATAGTGCATTGATACACCTTAAGGGGCCATTACTAAGAACATTTTAGGCACAATTGTATTCTCAAAAGTGATATCATTATCAATGAATGTGTATGACAATACACTTTAAATTCGCTACGCACATGGAAATAATTGGTTATAACATAAAAAAACTAAGAGTTAGAAAATAATATATGGAATGTGTACCAAAAGTAGTATTTTTTATATCCTTTTACATCATCCACCAATGCTTCAATTACCTAATATGACAATTACATAATGTCATCCCCAACCAATATGACATTCTCGTAATAAAACCCGACATAATAAAACCCGACTCACATGTAAATCATATAGCATGCATTCTCAAGATCAGAAACATCTTCTACTTCTTCCTTAACTAATCAAAACTTAGCACTCTCATTCCATAAAACCACGACATGAACTTCATTTGGGGTTGACAATGACTCACATTTCAATAAATAAGTAAAAAAAACACCACTTTTAAGGCTTATAGGCACCAGGGGGAGATGTGGGGCTTGGGAGGAGGAGGTAGGAGGTATGGGCTTACGGGCGGCTTATAGGCACCAGGGAGAGATGTGGGGCCTTAGGGGGGGAAGGGAGGGAGATGTGGGGTTCGGAGGGAGGGGGATGAGAGGTATGGGGCTTACGGGCACAAAGAGAATCATGGAAGCCTTTAATAGTACGTGGTACACTCTAAAGGTCATTTGCTTGGAACATTTTAATACCAGTTGGATTCTCAAAATTGATATCCTTGTCAATGAATATATATGTTAATACACTTAAAAATCATAGAGCACATGAAAAGAATTTGGTTATAACATAGAAAGTACTAAGAGTTAGAAAATAATGTGCGGAATGTATACCAAAAGTAGGAGTTTCTAGGGTCATCTTACATCGTCCATCAATGCTTTGATTACCCAATATGATTATTACATATTTGTCATTCTCAACCAATATGACATTCTTCTTTGTCACTTCAACATTCTCGTTATAAAACCCGGCTTACATGTGAATCATATAGCATGCATTCTCAAAACTAAGTACTCCTATTCCATAAAGGTACGATACGAATTTTGTTTGGGGTCGACAATGACTCACATTCCAACAAATAAGTAGAAAAAAACACCACTTTCAAAGCTTATAAGTGCCCGGGGGGGAGGGGGTGGTGCTTATGGGCATAAAGAGTATTATGGCAGCCTTTAACAATGCGTCGATACACAATAAGGGTTATTGTTTGGAACATTTTAAGACCAGCTGTACTATAAAAAATGATATCCTTGTTAATGAATATGTTTGCTAATACACTTGAAAGTCACAAAGCACATAGAAATAATTTGGTTATAATATAGAAAGCACTAAGGATAATAAATAATGTATGGAACGTGTATCAAAAGTAGGAGTTTTTAGGGCCTCTTAAATCGTCCACCAATGCTTCAATTACCCAATATAACTATTACATATTTGTCATCCCCAACGAATATGACATTCGTCTTTGTCACTTCAACATTATTGTAATAAAACCTGGCCCTCATGTAAATCACATAGCATGCATTCTTAAGATCAAAACATCTTCCACTGCTTCCTTAATTAAACAAAACTAAGTACTCCCATTCAATGAAGCCACGACATAAATTTTGTTTGGGGTTGACAATGATTCACAATCCAACAAATAAGTAGAAAGAATACCACTTTCAAGGCTTATAGGTACCTTGGGAGGTGTGGAACTAAATTTTAACTATTA